AGAGCATGAAGTTTTCTAACTGCATAATTGACTATATAGTATCTGGTCCTGCTTTCCTCTTGTCTAATCTCATCAACTGGACGGCACTCTTCGGAGTCTCAGTCATCAGTGCGACTGGCTTGTGCCAACAAATGGAAATTTAAATTCACCCTGGTTGCTTGTTTCCTTCCTAGACTTACAAACACTGGCACTTTTGGCTAAACAACGCGGATGCCGTTTGGCAGTCCCTCGCTATCTTCTTTATATCCACTGCCATCTACTCAAACTCCAATGTGGCAATCTGGGAACTTGGAATGGTTTGCATGAACTGCATGGTCTTCATTTCCCTCGTACATATCGGCATTGAATCGAAATGCTGGGTATGTTTAAACAGTCCTTCCCACTTGACTGCACTTTTCTGACATCAGCCTTATCATTTATTTTTGTGCAGCACGTAGCAAACCAGCGTGTCTTGCATGCTTTTATGACCTACTGAGGGCTTGTCCTTTTACTACTGGATTTTTTCTTTATACCCTATTGTTGGTTCGCATCAAAAATGCTCTCGGGGAAGAATAAACGTCACGACCTGATTAAGAGCCTCCTGATTTGGAGTCCACGGAACATGACGAAAGCAGGGGCTCGTATTTTTATGTTTTCTTGTAACGGGATATTAGTCATTTGCTTTTGCGGTCCTAACTATAAGTTATGTTGCAAATGAAATGTAGGACCACATTTCGCGTCCACTGCCGCGCCGGATCCCGGTGCTTAGTGGTTGAGTTATAGGAGAGCGTGCGGCCATCTTTTTTATGCGAAATCTTTTCCGACGTACTTTTTAGTCAGATTTCTGTGCTCAAAAAGTCGGTGCTTGAAGATTGCCAACTGCTAGCATAACATGGCCCTCCTCCCAACCGAGGGTCATGAAGCCGAATGCTTGGACCGTGTGACTGTCGAAAGTAGTTGCGTCGACAACAGAAGGTTCCCCCAAATCCAAAGTCTGCTAAGACATGGTTGGTAGGAGAAGCTTTTACTACGCAAAAGGAGCCTCACAACA